AGAAGACCAGACATATTGACGGCCTTGGGGATTAGAAGCAGGCACCTTCTTTGGAAAACACCCTCTCTGCAGCACAAAGGGACCAATGGACACAGACCCAGAGTTTGAATCTGGGATATATATTTGCATATGAGAGGGATGCTATAAAAGTGAGGTGTCTTGCAGAGGACCCCGGGTTTCGTCTTGTCACCATCGGAGCATCGATCCAGATCAGCAGAAGCCCGGCTCCACCCCTCCCCCATCTAACTCACCTGGCCAGTGCAGTTAAGGGGAGCAACTTGTTGGTAACAACAGCAAGACGGAGTGTGCTTGTGTGTGTGTGTGAGTGCATGAGTGACTTATATATATATATCCCCCATCTAACTCACCTGGCCAGTGCAGTTAAGGGGAGCAACTTGTTGGTAACAACAGCAAGACGGAGTGGGCTTGTGTGTGTGTGTGTGAGTGCATGAGTTATATATATATATATATATATATCATATGCATATGATAACTGTTAATTATTCTATGTGTGATCAATAAATGTGGCGTGTTGCCTTATCCCCCTGAAAAAGATCCCGAGTACTTCTTTTAAGTACAACACTTTGAGCTAAAAGCCAGCTGGTGCGCAATCCATGCTGTAGAGCCATGGTCTCCAACCTTTGAAACCACAAGATCACTTTTTCAATGTAAGTGCAATGTAAGATCTATCTCAAACCCAAAAACCTTTGCCCCACTTCCTTCCCACCCCTTCTCTGAGGCCTCACCTGCTCACTCCATCTCCCTTCCTCCCCCATCTTCACTCACTTTCACCAGGCTGTGGTAAGGGTTAGGGTGCAGGCTCTAGTCTTGGGCCAAGGGGTTTGAAGAGTGGAAGGGGTTCCAGACTTATCCCAGGGTGGGGGACAGGAGTTGAGGCGGGGTTTCAGGGTGCAAGCTCTGGGAAGATGTTTATGTGCAGGCTCATATCTGGGCCAGGAGATTGGGTGCAGGAGAAGGTTTAGGGCTAGAACAGGCGTTCAGGAAGCAGGTTCTGGCTGAGCACCATTTAACTGAGACGGCTGCTGGGTGGTGGAGTAGTGGGGTTAAGGCAGGCTTAAGCAGCTGGCATGTACAGTAATGCCAGCCACATCCAGGAGCAGTAATTACCACAGTGATAATTACTCTAGACATGACAGCTTAGGCATTTTAGAACTCACTACTCAAATAATTAAATTAAGCATAAGAGAAAAATGAAAACTATGAAATGCACAGACCAGTCAAAAAACAAAAATACCATACTTTGAAGTAACAACAATCCCCCACATATGTGTTGGGTCAGGAGATGAGTGAAGGACAGTGTGTGTTTGTGAGAACGACAGACACACATACAGTGTGTGAGAGAGTGACAGAGATTTGCATTGCCAAGCTCCCTCCATCCCCTTTTCTCTGTGTGGGGATATGGTACAAAAATGAGGAGAGGAGCGACATCCTGATATCAGCACCTCCCCTCTTCTCCCTCCCACAACCTGCACAGAAAGCAGGAGGGGAAACTCCAAGGCAGAGAGCAGGAGCAGCATGACATTGGGTGGAGGGGCAACTGAAGTGCCAGCATTTGGTAACTTCCTGGCCAAACCAGTCAGGATCACCTGTCAGAGGCTCCAAGATCTACTGGTAGATCCTGATCTACTGGTTGGTGACCACTTTTGTAGAGGTCTCTTATTCTTATCTGTTGCTGTGGTCTAAGTGCCACTGCATTGGACAGTGAACCACACTAGGTCCTGCCATGAGGGCAGGGGACTGGACTCGATGACCTCGTGAAGTCCCTTCCAGTTATATGATTCTATGAATCCTCTGTTTATCAATAAAGAGAAGAAGGAGTTGTGAAGGGTACCCTACCTACTTCCATCTCCATATCCTAGGAGACATAAAAACAAAGAAAAACATTAGTTCACCAATAAAAACATCCAATCGCTCCAATATTTAGAGCACAACACCTAAGGCTTATGTAATAAATACCTCAGAAAAAGCAACTACCTAGCAATAATAGGAATATGTCCGAGGGGATTATGAAAATCAAAGCTGCAGCTCTCTTTGAAGCCCACTTTATTGGGCGAGTTATGCAACCATGTACTTCTTAGTAAGTCTGTTTGAATTTGTGGTTTCTATGACACAGAACTCACCTTCAGGACTTGCCTAAACTATTACATTAAGATGAATTAAGAGACATAGTTACAATCAATTTTTCTGAGCATCTTAGAAGAATGAGTGGATCCCCATTTACTCTTTGGACATCTTAATACCATCATGTTATTGGCTCCCTTGGGTAGAACTGAGAGCCATCAGTGACTCTAGGGCTGTGTCTAGACTGGCCAGTTTTTCCAGAAAATCAGCCCCTTTTCCGGAAAAACTTGCCAGCTGTCTACACTGGCCGCTTGAATTTCCGCAAAAGCACTGACGATCTCATGTAAGATTGTCAGTGTTTTTGCAGAAATACTATGCTGCTCCCGTTCGGGCAAAAGTCTTTTTCTGAAAAACTTTTGCGCAAAAGGGCCAGTGTAGACAGCAGAGATTAGTTTTCCGCAAAAAAGCCACGATTGTGAAAATGGCGATTGGGGCTTTTTTGCGGAAAAGCGCGTCTAGACTGGCCACGGATGCTTTTCCTCAAAAAGAGCTTTTGTGGAAAAGCATCCTGCCAATCTAGACGCTCTATTCCAAAAATGTTTTTAACGGAAAATTTTTCCGTTAAAAGCATTTCCAGAAAATCATGCCAGTCTAGACGTAGCCTAACAGTATCAAATGTGTGGTGGTGGCTTCTGTCCAAAACAACGCTGTGTAACACTTCCAACCTTGCTCTATCTATGATGCGTCCTGCCCTGAAGCCTGATTGTGAATTTTAATAAATCATGTTGTAAATGTTCTGCAGTCATTTGGTAAACAGGTTGTCCCAATAAATAATTTACAGGAACAATTTGGAAGTCAAGGCCAGCCCTTAGTGTAGGCTGGAGGGGGACGGACTCCATGTGCTGGATAGTCCTTGGTGTGTTATAAGCACAGTAAGTATTATATTGTTTACAGTGGTCTGAAAAAAGTGAGGGGGTCTGTCATAATGTGGGAGTGGGACTTTGGTAAAGTAGTGCTCAGAGTGTGCCCCTCGGATTCATTTCTGTGGTTTTTACTGCCTGGTCTGGGGGGAGCCCTTATTACCCCCACTTTAATTGAAATATTGGTTGTAGGAGACTGTGAGTGAGCCTGATACAAAGTGGGACTGGGCGTGAGGCAGGCCCTGTCGTGGTCAAGGAAAGCTGCAGGGGAGGCAGTGGGTGGGGGAGGGCTGCTCCTGGTGTGCGCTTCTGGGGCTCTCTTCTGTGGTTTTTACTGCCTGGTCTGGGGGGAGCCCTTATTACCCCCACTTTAATTGAAATATTGGTTGTAGGAGACTGTGAGTGAGCCTGATACAAAGTGGGACTGGGCGTGAGGCAGGCCCTGTCGTGGTCAAGGAAAGCTGCAGGGGAGGCAGTGGGTGGGGGAGGGCTGCTCCTGGTGTGCGCTTCTGGGGCTCTCCGAGTC